TTAGCAGTCAGAGCGCTGCAAAGTTTACACATCCTGGTCCTTTAGCAGTCAGAGCGCTGCAAAGTTTACACATCGTCGTCCTACAACCAGCAGTAAAAACCAGTCTTACTGGTTTGGTGATGTGGGCAGCAGGACAGAGAGTATTGCTTCACTGACTGTGTCTGACGGAGCCGTATCCGCTATCTATGAAATGCTATGGGTGCTGTCAGCAATACTGCAGTTCATCAGAGGGTCAGTAGGTGGTGCTATCACTCACCTGCTGGCTGAGCAGGCCACATGTCACATGCCAGGCTGTCTCTAGGCCCCTCCCCCTTACCAGCATGTTTCAGCATGGTAAAGTCATTGAAGCAGAAATGGACAAAACCGTCAGCAGAAAGACATACCGGCCTGCATGTGTACATAAGTGACTCACTTCCCATTTAGAGAGGGGCCAACTTTTATTGCTTATCTTGAGGAATGACTGTAGAACCTCCCTCATCCTCACCAGCATAGATCAGTGCTGGTCAGAAGTTCAGCTCATGAGCAGAGCACGTTGAAAATGTGGTTGGCTGGTCACATGGTGCATTTAAAGTAGATGCCAGCTTAGGGCCCTGCAGTTACGTTACTTAGTCAGTATTTCACTTTTTATGAGTAGTTTGAGTTTGATTTACTGCTGGTGTCCCTCCTCTGCCAGCGGAGTGGTGGGGAGGCCTGGGACAGCCACAGTAATGCACTCTCCCTCCCCGCAGCTTACGGAGCTGAACACCTTCTTCCTGAAACACATCTTCGTATTCCAAGCCTCTCATGCCCTCAGCTGGTGCCGCATCCTCTTCATTGGGGTGATCACCGCCCCCACTGTGAGGTGAGTGCTGGGTGCTGCCACTAGGGGCCGCCAGAATCAGCACTGTCTGAAGCAAAGGACTCGATGAGTAATGGGGGCTGCAAGATTGCTTACGTTAATCACTAATGTGGGGTGGCATTGTCAGGTTTTTTTTTTTTTTTTTTTTGTAAATGCATAATGGTCTGGTATAAAAAGGAGGTTTTCTAAAATCCGGTCATTGTTTTAGACTGCAGGTGAATTGGTGCAAACGTTTTGTACTGGGGGGTTTGTTGTAATAGTAACACTTTACTTGATGGGACACAAATACTTAGTAATAATTCGGTACCGAAGTAGAAATGATGAACAAATCATGAACAAATACAGTCACTACTTGAGATAAAGATGCTTCATGATTCATTAATGATGAACAAACATGAGATCAGAATTTCACTTGTGTTATGACTTGTTAAAAAGCTTTACAGAATTAACAGATAACAAATATAGCAACTGCTTGAGATGAAACGTGTCACGATTCATTAATGATGAATTAACAGATCAATGTGCAACTAAGACATTGTTCGTGGTTAATTAATACATAATAGCATAATACTATATTTTTTGTGTCCTGTTAAGTAAAGTGTTACTGTTATAATTTGCTAGTCAGTCACTCAAATTGAATAAAATCTGCTAAATCAGAATAATTTTGCACAGATGCAACAAATACTTTCCATGACAGCCTAAAAAACAGACAAAAAACTTTTGTGAATCCTGTTACTCCTCTACTGCTGTCAGACAAAAACACAATGCAGGCTTCCATGAAAAGCTATCATTTAGTTGTACTGTTTTCTGGTCCATTTGAAAGCAATGAACGGCAACGAGTGCCTTACAGGACTATCCCCAAGGGTCCATTTGGGCTGTCCTCAGAGGGTCGAGTCGTGTTGCCCTTAGCAGGTCCGGTTTGGCCGTCCTTGTCATTCTGATTGGCTGGATGGGCAGATGCCTTTATTTCTGTGTCTTCTATTTAAATCACAGGAGAAATGGGTAGACCCTGCACACAGTATCACATATTCACCCCTTTGTGCTGTAAATGAAACATATGAATGCTCTGCATTGAAATATACAGGTGTTTTCACACCTGTATATTCCGCAAATTCATTTTAAGCAAACCAAACCATTAAAGTGGACCAAAAAGTGGACTAACAAAAAAGGGTCTGAACAAGGGTGTGGGTTTGATTGGTAGGGACCAAACCAGCCTTGAGTATCACTGCCCCCTTAGTTACACATGATACTCCCACAGTACTCATAAGGGCATGTCCCTACCACCCCCACCAAAATCTACGCCGTTGGGATTCAGTTCTTTTTGTGTTCACTTTGTGCGTTCATTTGAAAGAGGACTCTGTTCTCTTTCTGGTCCACTTCAGCTCTGATGGGTCCTCAGCCCTCTTTCTGTTCACACTATAGTACATCTGGAGCTCTGACACCTTAACCGCTTTGGATTATGGGTAACGTGCCAGTGCCATAGCATGCAATCTGTCTATGGCTAGTTTAAAGGGCTAAAACACAATGGCAAAAGGTGACATAAACCTGGAGCACTTTATGTTCACAATGCACAGGTTAAGTGAACTGCAACACAGACCTGAAGCAAACCGCATTGAGATAATCTCCCGAGGTGGTCTCAGTTCGATTCATTTCCAGGGGGTCTGAGTTTGTTTGGAGAGTACATATATATGCTCAAAAAATGTTGATTAATCGCTGTGTTTTGAGGGCTGAAAGGGACCAAGTGTGAAAGCATGTAATAGTGATTGAGGCTGTGGATGTCTATCTGGCCCTACTGTCCGCTTCGGGCTGCAAGTGTGTATCATGTATGAGCTGAAGTTCAGACGGTCCCTGGACTGTGTGCTTCTTTTGCAGGCAGTATTACGCATACCTGACGGACACGCAGTGCAAGCGAGTGGGCACGCAGTGCTGGGTCTTTGGGTGAGCTCCTCCCGCTAGGCGGCGCCGCACGGCCATGCTGACCGCGCACCATGTGCTCGCCACGGCCGACAGCCTCCTGCGCTTATGTCACGCTTGCATTCATTGGCCCCCGACGAGACATTTAAGGAGGATCCCAAAGATGAAAGGGTGGCAGGTGGTTTTCAGGGAGGCCAGGAGCTACATCCAGCTTCACCATCCCTGAAATCTCTCGCCGAGTGCGTGTGTCTGTCTGTCTGTGTCTGTGAGAATGATTAGCAAACACACATAGGAACCTCTCTTGCTTTCTGATTGGCCGTGGCCTCGTTTGTCTGTCCATGGTCCCACCCCTCGCAGCAGCTCCCTCACATCCCGTGGGCCAGTTGGCACGATCCATTTTTAGTGTGACATGCGGTTCAGCCCCGGGCTGCCGTTCAGAGCCGGGGCGCCCTTCTGGCGAGCGGGCCGGCCTCTCATTGGAGCGTTTAAGCTGCCAGGGGCCTCGCCTGCTTACTGGGCCTGCGTATGTGCGTGTGCGGGACTGCAGTGCCCTTATCCTTGCCTGAGTCTCCCCAACTCCCCTCTAGTGCCATTGCCTTCTTGGAAGCCCTGGTCTGCATCAAGTTCGGTCAGGACCTGTTCTCCAAAACGCAGATCCTCTATGTCATCTTCTGGCTTCTGTGTGTGGTAAGCTCCTCCTCTCCACTCCTCTTCCTCACATCTTGCTCTCCTTCACTCTATCCTTCCTGGACTCTGCCCGTTCTGTAGTAGACGGGGGACTATTTCCTCATGTCCTCTTCTCCTTGCCCCGTTTCTGTAGGCTTTCACCACCTTCCTCTGCCTCTATGGGATGGTGTGGTACGCGGAGAAATACGGACCGAAGAGGCCGAAGGTAAGAGCCCCCTGCCCAGTAGAGCGTGCCTTACTGATGACCTGTGACTCATCAGGAAACCCAAGGAGATGGAGAGTTAAGACTCCAAATCACCGGCACTGTATCCCCTGCTGTGTACTGCCGAGGAAAATGCCCGGATCATTCAGGCCAGACGCCATTTGCCGTTTCAGACCCTGTCAGAATGTGAAGACAGCAGCTACACTAACTCCTGTGGCCATGCCCCCACCATCTCCAAGGGTAACGTGAAACGACACGCCCCCAGAGCTCTCCGACCGTGACCTGTGCTCCGCTGGCCCCTGAGGACCCCAACCCCTGCAGCCCCCCTCTGATCTGTCTGTATGGTAGGAAAATGGAGGAGCCGGATTGATATTTTGGTTCATCTTTCCTGTTTGGTCTTTTTTTTCCCAGGCGATAAAGAGTCTGGGAGTGGTGCACAGTCATCGCGGAAGAGGAAGGGATCCGGGAGGAAGAAGACCAGCAATGGCCTGGGGGGCAAAAAGTAGCAGGGGCTTGCAGATATGGGGGAGGGAGAAGAGTGACCACAACTGACAGACCTGCAGCAAGGAAAAGGGCTAATTGTTGTATTTTTTGAGGAGGGGGCCACTGAAACACAGAATTGGGCCTTGACCATACGAGCACCTGGGGCCAGTATCACAGGGTGTCACCCTGCCTACATTACTGTTCTCTATCCCCCATTGTAGGGCTTAAATAGGGTGACCCCCACCCACAGACACACAGGCAACAATGCGCTAACTAAACACCCACCCCCCGGCAGTCAGTCAGCTGGCTTCCCTGTCTGTGTACTCATGCGGATTCTAAATGCATCCTGCTCTCTGGCTAAATAAGGCCTGGAATGTGAGCAGGAAGCAGCCCCAGCGAGCCGTGTGTGTGACCGGCATGTTTATGGGTCACCATGGTGACGGGACGCTGTCTATGCACATGGCGTGTCTGGCTGGCCAAATGGGGGGGGGGAGGGTTCAGATAATTTTGGGCCCCCCAGGCCCATTTCTTGCCAGCCCCTCTCAACATCCCCCGCCCCGTGACAAATAGTCACTTTTTAAAAAAAAATCTTAAAAACATAGTGTATGTACAGCAAAAATTTCTGCAAGTTTGTTCACTCTCCTCCTCATCTGAGAGGTCGCCCCGTGGCCGTGTTCACGTGGCCTGTCTGTTTTATCTCTCCCCCACCCCTTAACCCCCCCACCCCCAAACCTGTGTGTGTGTCTGTCTGTGAATAAGCCCTGCTGTGGGCTTGAGTGTCCTCACTGCCGGATTCCCCCTGACCTGACTGATGGCACAAAGGTCGTCATAATGGCTGTCAGAAGCTCTGGGCCTTTCGCTCCCCCCTGGGTGCTGGGGCCACTTCTCTAGAGGCCAGATGTAGAGCCTCAGTCTTTTTGTGGCTGGGGGGCCCGGCTACAGAGACGCAGTTGGAGCACTTATCCCCTTTGTCCATTAGTAGTGCACATGTGGGCCAAATTTATCAAACTTTTGCACCAGTAATATTCATATATTCCCCAGTACTAACATGTATGTCCTGTGCAAATTCAAAAGGAAAAAACTAAGTTTACAGCTTGTTTTTAACCTTAACTTTTATTCCATGTTAAAAATGGGTATTTTTCCACCATCATTTAATTTTCATTACCTGTGTGGTACGGTTATCTCAACGCAATGGGTTTTTTTTTTTTTTTTTTTGCATGGTTATGTAATGTTACAGGATAAATAGATTACTACTTGCATGTGTTTTTGTATTAGCAGGTATCCGTATGTTAATCACTAATGTCTGTCATGTGATACATGTTTTGTGCCTGATGGGAAGATGGTCTTGGTGTGTCTTTTGGTTCCCCACACCGTGTGATCTCCGTTAGTCTTCCCACATTATGTCTGAGATCACCCCGTATCGTAATCGCCTTTGCTATATTCACGAGAGGCCATTTTGCTGAGCGGCGCCGTGCATCACGGACAGGCAGGTGAGATTACCGACGGTGAACAGACTGATTGCTCTCTAAGGCTTTCAGCCTGAATCAGTCACCTCAGCAGTGACCGTAAGTCCCAAGCCTGCAAACCGTCCTGTAACTGCCTTGCTCAGTATGAAGAGAATGTTATTCGCAGCTGTGACAATGTTAGTTTTTTTCCTACAAAGGACCGAAGCACACTGATGAAGTGGCTGGCATTTAAATGTAGTGAGTGAGTGAGAGATTGAATGAGAGTGAATGTAGGACTGTTTGGACAGTATGCCCTATGACTGAAGAACAGGGAGGGGAGATCCTTTAAAAAGATTTCTTTGTACTTCTGGTATTTTAACAAGAGACAGCTGCATTGATATGCAAGTGACACTGAATTTTATAGGTAGAAAAAAAGAAAAAAAAACAGTATGAAACTAACCAGTATGTTTGCTGGTGGTCATTTGTGTAGAAGCACCTGGAGTGTGTAAAGATGCATTTGTAATACGTGACCCTGACTTTTGAATAAATACTGTAAACACTGTGCTGGTATCTGTTCTTTTGATTACACAATATGGCAGCTTGTGTTCTAGTGTGACTTAACTTTGGAGTTCATGTGCTGTAATTGCTCAATATGGATTATGCTTCAGCGTATTTAGCATCAAACATGTGGTCATATAAAGGATTCAGCAGGAGCTACTTTTTCTACACTTTCAAATAATGGGATTTTAAAGCAAAACTTACTCTGTAGAGAGTGTCATGTACTGAGCATATCTGACCAGCAGGGGGAAGCAGAGGGCCACCCTGCAGCATAGGGCCAGTCATATGGCACTTAGCTCATTTGGGCTCTTGCTGATGAGGTTGGGGGTGCTCCACAGGTGGTACAGGAGACCCAGGAACCATGTATGTTGCTTGGATGGCTCACTTTTTGCTGTCATGCTCCTCTGGACAATGGTACAGGGGGCGACTAGGTTGCCCATGACAACAGTATGGGCTAAGTTTGGGGGGTCAGGTGGGGGAGTCAATGCCCTCCTTTCCTACAGAAGAAAAAATCTATTGTAGGGATGCAGATTTAGTCACAGAAGCAAGGAGCAACATTCATCACATCCCTAAAGGTGGGGGAGGGAATGTTTCATCATGGGGGTTTTGACAGCCTGAAAGGCCTGTGTTTAAGCATTGATGCCATCCATTAAAATGCATAACTCGTAGATCTGACAGCATCCTTTGAGTGAAGAGTCTATAAATTACTGGTATCATACTGCAGTATACAAGGTAAAAAGGAAATAGATACTTTTAATACCACCTTAAAATAGTTTGAGGCTCTGGAAAAAAACAGGTCTGTCGCAGAGTGTAAAATGTTAAAATTTAATTTAAAATAATCCTGACGACTCGTCCCGGTTGCCCCCGTCGCCCCACTCACTGACCCTGACCAGAAGCGGATATATGTTTCGATTGATACATGAACATTTTAAAACAAATCACTCCGACATAATGATTTTATTATTGATTATTTACTAGAGCCGTTTAACAGTAATTGTGCGACGGGGCATGGGAAGACAATGTTAAGCGCGTGTCTCCCGCAATCTGTGTGCGCCGTTTGCACGCTTCCATGCCGTGGTCGATGGTAACGGAGCCGGGGGGGGTGAGGTCGCCTTGCAGTTCGTGCTGGCGGGATGGTGAGGACGCGGCGCCCCGGGCCAGGCCGGCACGGCCCTTCCCCTCGGACTGAACACGCGTGTCGCCGTCCCCGCCTTGACGGTCATTCCTCCGCCCGATCCCCATTTCAGCACCGCTGTCTATGCAGGACGCACCTCGTCACCATCCCCGTCCAGATTTCTGTTCTCCCTGCCTCTTTCTCTTTTCTTTGCGCATGGGGGACGTCTGCGTTCTCATCTTTCGCACAGCGTCCCCCTCTCTCTCCCCAAAGCGTCCTCCGCCCGTGCGTTACTGCCTTTCCCCCCGCGGAAGATGGCGGTCGGGATGCAGACGAGGAGACTGAGGAGCAGCCGCATAGCCCGACGGGCGCGTTAGGAGAGCCAGGATCGCGCTCACCGACATGGCTTTTTGGGGCTACTTTTCACCACAGTCGCCGATTAACTCGCCGCGATCCGGCTCGCCTTTTTAGGGGGGATCTGGTGCACTTCGTCGAGACCCGCCGCCGCCGTCGGATCCTACCGGAGGGCTGGAGGGGGGAGGACAAAAAGTGGATAAAAAATGTCAGACACGAAGGTAAAAGTTGCAGTTCGTGTCCGGCCGATGAATCGGAGAGGTAAGTGATCCGATCATGCATCTTAATGCCCTAAATCGGGGGGCGATTTGCAAACTTTGCCCGTTATTGACATTTTTTTCATCAAACTACGTAATTTTATTAACATCTATCTGGCTACTTTTCCCGACTGCGGCTATGCAGATGTTAAGTTTTTTAGTATCAATGCTTGTGGTTGCTTTAAAAACATTCTTTTTTAAAAAAAAGTTGGAGTGCAAAGTTGCGAATCAGGTGCACAAGGCAGTGGTTTTCTCCCGAAGTGAACCGGGCTGTTAACACTTTGCTCTGAAACTGTTACTGCAGAGATTGAGCTCAACACAAAATGTGTCCTGGAGATGGAAGACAACCAGACCATCCTGCACCCGCCGCCCTCCAACGCCAAGGGAGAAAACAGGTAAAAATGCCATTTTAAATAACACTTTCACTAGTGATCCTTAAATGTCCATGCCTGGGGAGTTGCTGCTCCTTGTGTTTTGCTTTGTGATTTTATGGGTCTGCTAGATTTTGAGTAGGAGCGTCCGGAGCTTCTTTTCTGCCGTGTCATTTAGTGGGTATGGAATGCTAGCTGCTTTCCTTTTTTACCATCTGGACAGTTGCATTGCAGCCCTGATCAGCGAAGGGCGGCTTTTTTTTTTTTGGAAATGACAGTATTAATAAGCGATCTCTGAACCCAGGGCCCTTCACGGCTCCTCTGGGGGAGCCGTCACACCGGCCTTCGGTTCCTCAGCGCCCAGCTTTTCGTTTAGCTGTCTGGAGACAGTGTAACCTGGAGAGATTCCCCCCCCCCTGTGATGGGCCATGACCTCTATGAGCCCTATGCTGGCTTGGGCTGGAGATGTAAACAAGGCAA